AACTTAAGAAAACAAATGTATATATGTATATATGTATATATGTATATATGTATATATGTATAAACAGCAGGTGTAGTTGATAAAATAGATATCAAACCCACTTCACCATTAAAGATTGTAATGCCATTGAAAGTAGTCAAAGGTATCAAAGTTGACTTCCAAATCCAACCAGGATATAAAACCAGGATATGAGCCTTCACCACAATAACATGAAGTGTCACCCACAATCCTTCTCGGCTCCCAACCTCAACAGGTAACAATTACTGTATTCTTAGTCAGCCAGAGGCATAATTAGCATCTCGGGACTCCAAAAGAGCCGCTCAGATGGACATTCGTAATCCAACCTGTCTTCAGTAAAAGGCTAGTGGTTTACATTCAAAGAAAAAGAAAAAAAAGAAGAAAATGTGCACATAAGCATTACATGCAGAATTGCTTTTCCTTCCTGTCACTTGTCTTGGCATTGAAACTTACTGAAGGATATTAAACTGGAGATGTTCTCCCTGGATGGATGTGGAAGATAAATTCTTCATTCTTGGCAAGGAGAGGGATTGGCATTTGATTTGCTTCCTTCTCCATATTCCCAAAGTAATTATCATGTTGGAATCATACCAGTCCTTTTGGTTTTGACTGGATTTCTCAGTTCCCATTGTTAAAAACAGGTTTTTAGGAATGTAACATCTATGAACCAATCCCGATCCGTTTTCAGACCAACTTTCTAAACTTCCATCCAGTTCAGCAAATCTACTCATATCCATGAATTTCATCCATCAGTCACAGATAACAGTTTTACTCTGGTGTTTGCTGTGAAGACACAGGGAATATCCCAGGTCTTTCTTACGGACTCAGCACACCTTCTTCTCCTCTCACAGAATGTGCTTTATTTTGTTCTACAATATGAAATAAAGACCAAATATATCACGAGTGGAGGGAAAATGACACCACTAGTTGCAGACAGAACTAACTTGAAAAATGAAAAAAAAAAAAAAACTCCAGAATTTTCCCAATTTCACTCTGAAGCTTTTTCTTTCTTTTTCCTTTTTATAATTGGGAAAATTGGGAGGGAGGGGGAAATGATAAAATATTTTCTGATCATACATAAAATGGTAGGGATCTGGAAATACACTAGAATAAATTAGTAGCATGTCTTCACACAGGAAAATATTTCATTTTAGAAGTCCATGAAAAATTGTGCAACTAACAGATTAAACTTAGAAAATGAGACTGATTCATTTTTTCCTGAGCAAATTTTATATTGTCATATTGCTTTTCTCCTTCCCCACCCAAAACAAATCTTTTCCTGTTTGATACATTGAATGACAAAGGGGCCACCAAGATCCTCTCTGAGGACTCCTCAAAATAAAAATTATTTGTCAGCTTATGTTGAAAAACAATACAATATTAAAATCCCGTCAAACAAGCTTGACAAGTGATAGCAGTAGCAATGCATCAATTTTAATTTTTAATAAGTAAAGATAAATAAATATAACCCATATAAACAAAAGCACTTTTGGAGTCGTCCCAAATTTTTAAAAGGGGTCCTGAGAGAAGTTTAAGAAATACTAAAAAAATGGGTTTCAGTTACACAAAGGAAGATTCTGGTTTTAATATTAGGAGGAATTGCATAACAGCAAAAGCACTTTGACCGTGGGATCATTTAGCTTTGATGAGCTCCTCTTCACAAGATGAGGTAAAACAAAGGCTAAAGAACTGTCTTTCCAGGACAACTGAATTTAATTTAGATTTTGGCTTGGAACAGGGATAGGACTGGATGGCCTTCCAAGTCTAGAATTCTGGGTCATCTAGAGAACCATCTCCTCATCCTTCGTTTTCTTCTTTCAGCCTTTTTAAACATCATACAGGATCTTCAGATAGATGGAGAGACAGGTTGATCAATTCAACTATACCCTTTTCATAGCTCCAAGCACAAAATCCCACCCACCCCCATCAATCATTTTCCTTTGATATTGGCTTGCATGTTGTCTTTTGAATAATCACCATGACTGTGATAATAAAAACCTGACTAGAAAATTACTTGAATTTACATATGCTGCCAGTTCATAGAGAAAAATGGCTATTTTAGATCTAGAGATTCTTATGAGCCCAGCTAAGTCTAGTTGCAAGAAGCAAGTGTAAAGTTTGATTTATGGATCCCAAATGCTCTCTTGGTGCAGCTCTATTTAAAACTGAGCGCCTGTAATGTTTGGGGATGTGCCAGGTGTCACTCAGCATTGTTTCAGCCCAAAGTGTCCAATGAACATCCTGCTTCTAATTTCCCTGAGAATTCAGCCACAAGAACCAATGTTTTAACAGCCAGATTTTCTCTCCATGCAGGTTTTCATGATTGTTATCTACAGAGAAAGAGATCCACCCCTGGGTGTAGCTGGCTTCACCGAAGAATAGAAGTTAATAGCTGCTCCCAACAATGGCCTCCACTCTCTATTTGTCACCCAGTGGCTGAATATAAAAGAGGTCTCAGAGCAAAATGCCAAGCAGATGAATGCTTCTGACTGCTTGATACCTTGGGGTCTTCTACAAGAAACCATTGCTTGATTCAACATCATGAGCATTTCTCACCTAAGCAACAGAGCTGAGAGCCATTTCCAGGCACAAGAAGAACATGAACTGGAAACTCTAGGGAAGAAAGCATGGGACAACCCAGTTTACAACGGATCCCCTTCCTCCTCCTCCCTGAAAATCAGAGCGATCTACAACCCAAAATCCATTTTGGAAAATCCCTATGAGAATATTGAAAAATTGACTGGCTCTCTATCCTACCCACAGGATAGAAAGACCACAGAGGAAGCTAGGAAGAAGGAAACCCCCTTCCCAGGATGCTGCTACTATGTCTTCAAAGGCATCCGAGGTAACTGGGGTGGTGGGTGGGTGGGATTAAATGCAGAGAAGATAGCCATCTGTGATAGCTCCACCAAGAGGCAGGGGAAAGGATACAACTTTTGTACAGGGACTACCGAAGGAATATTGTACAGTAAATGTGGCTTTGCTATCTCTCTATGCGTGATGTACAAATTTAAAAATAATCACAATGACAGGCAGGAAAATTTAAACAATAGAATCTGAGCCTAGGTTACAGAAGTTACTGTCTCCTTTTTATAGCTGGAAAGGTTGCCTAAAGGTGAGACCATTACCTTGAAATTAGTTGGGGGCAACATGGTTTGCCTGAGCTTCAAAAGGTGGATAGGAGCATGTGGTTAATGCTTATTAGCATCATGCCTTGCTGCAAATTAGCTTAGTTGTTAAATGTGAATATTGTGCATAAAAGAAAAAAATGGAGCAAATTTTATCCAGCATGCTTGACATTTAGCTTAATTAATGAAGCTATCTTTGTAAAATAGTGTCATAACTCAAGGAAGCGAATGTTCAGATGTGACTTTCAAAACAGGAGAAGGAAGTCAGATTGACTGGATTTATTTTTATGAAATCCATGGAGAATTTTAATCCTTTTCTAGAACTGACATATTTGGAGCCAAGATAATTGTTCCTATGAATGAATTATCTGATTTGCGTCTTTGCTTCTGTTTAAAGATATGATTTTTCTCTAGCCTGCTTTCTTTTCAAAGAACTATACTTCTTGCCTTATTTGTATATTCCATTGTATACTGCTGACATCCTTGATCGGGTTGAAATAAAGACACCGAAATCTCTAAAGCTCTTGAGGGTACCACTATTTTCGCTCATTGTTGCATTCACTGCCAGCAAAGAGCGCTCAAGATGCTTTGTGGTTGGTAGACTATCTCAAAATATCCTCCCAGGCACATTTCTCTCCATCTGGGCAGATGAGTCATCTGAAGAAGGTAACTTAGGCAGGAGATGTTCCCATTCTCTTTCTCAAAGCCCATTCCACTTCCTCAGAATTCCTCTTGAACAGCCTATAGTCAGAGTGGAATCTCACCAAGGCAGAAGAGAATGGAACTATTTGGAAATTATACTAGATTGGTGTGACCAAAAATTGATTTTTGTAGCTTAAGTATATCAATATATTTGCATTTAGTTAAAAAATGTATATCCTGGTTGTTTATATTTAAAAAAAAATGCCTTACTATTTTTTTATGGTAACTAATAACATTTCACAAATATTATGGCAAACCATTGCACAATGCTTTGCTTTTCCTAAGTGAAGGATTTTACAATTTTCAGTTAAATTTCATTGTGCTATTTTCATCCCTTTATGCTAAACTCTCTAGATTAGTTTTAATGTTTCTAGTTTTGGAGACACTGCATTAACTATTCTTAGTACTCTGACCAATTTTGTCTACTCTGCAATTTTGATAAATATTCCTTTCCCCTCTGTTCCTCCAAAGTCCTTAATAAAAGTGTTTAGCCAAAACCAAACTCTGCAGCAACCAGTGAAGATATCTTCAGTGAAGAATATATTCTGTGAAGAATAAACATGGTTAGCTGTGAATTATCCTGTGTCACAGAACTAAGTGCTTTCAAATATTACCAAATGATTACCAAATAAATGCAATGACTGATTGGCAGTATTGTGAGTGCAAAAACATTTTGTTACACAAGAATTGCTATGGTGATCGTTTGCGAGTCTAGGATAGTTAATTTCTTAATTCTCATGAAAAGAACTCAGAACTGAAAAGGTCTGACTCCACTTCTTCAAAGATGGCTTAGGAGACCAGTTTTCAGCAATTGATGGAGAGAAGGTGAAAAGGCCTATTGTTTATAGACATAAAGAATAGTTTTTTCTTCTTTCTGAACAGAGGGTCTAAATTCCAAATCATCCAATGAGTTTACAATTGAGCAGAATTAGAAAGATTTCTCAAGCCCGCCACTTTCCTATAATTCAACATTGTTCTGGCTGTTATGGGTCTGTATGTCTTCCTGTAACGTGAACCCTTTTCTCCATGTTCTGCACTCTAGAATGAGGGAGATCTTTTTCTGTGTGACTTTTCAGGTATTTTGAAGACCCTATCTATTCTCCTCTCTTGCTTCTTCTGAGGCAGCTCTGATTCTAATATAGCTTCCTTGGGAATTATATCTCTTTCACTTAAAGACAGGGAGCCTTTCAAATAAATCACATCTTTTTCACCGTATGAGTTGCCTGACAGTGAGAGGGACAGCATGTAAATTTAATGAATAAAATTTGTAAAACCGGGATTTTGTCTGATGTATTTTTTTATTATTTTATTTATATCCCACCGTTTTTAATAAGCAACACAAGGTGGCAAACATATCTTATATTCCCTCTCCTTCCTATTTTTCTCACAACAACAACTCTATGAGTGAGCCGGGCTGAAAGAGAGAGGAACTGGCCCAAGGTCACCCAACTGGTTTTCATGACTAGGATGGGATTAGAACCCGTGGATACTCGGTTTCTAGTCTGGTTCCTTAATCACTAGACCAAACTGATTTTTTCGTGCTGGATGGCTCAGGGCCAACTGGACATCTATGCGGTCTGGAATTTGATGGTTGATTTGTTTCTATGATGACGTTCTTTCAGAAACTCAAGGCCAAGTTCATAGTGCTTGCTTGGTCACATATAGATATGTAGAACTGCCTGGTTCATGTAAAAATCAGTTGTGAATCTTATCCTCTGTAACTATGGTTACTATCTCCACAAGAAAAAAAAAAGTAGAGAAAACCAGAATTTTGTAGAATGACTGTCTTTCTGGGAAGTGGCCATGCTGGCAGGCAGAAATATTTTATGAATGTGAGTCTATAACCATTAGGCTTGCACAAGGGAGTCCAGACAAGAAGCACAAAAAGGAGTACTAGCTCTGTCTTTATTGTAAGGTTATTTAACAAACTCTTGTAAGTCTTGTAGGGGACATACATAAGTGCACCAACGTGCTTACCGTCCCTGTCCTATTGTTTCTTTTATATTTTTTTATTTTTTCTTATATTTATCCATGTATTCATAACTATGTTTTTACTTATACCTATTATCTTGTAAGCAATTGACAAATAAAAATAAATAAATAAAAAGTCTGAAAATATTTCTCCTTTCCTTTTTTTATGTAGAAAATTAGGGAGGGTCCCTCATGCTCTTCCTCTTTCAGTGGACTGAAATCTATTCTAACTTTAGAATAGAATAGAATTCTTTATTGGCCAAGTGTGATTGGACACACAAGGAATTTGTCTTTGGTGCATAAGCTCTCAGTGTACATAAAGAAAAATAAAATACATTCATCAAGAATCATAAGATACAACACTTAGTGATATACATACTAAGTGATAGACCTAGATATACTCAATATGTATGTCTCTCTCCTGTCCCCCAAAGTCCTTCACATATATCATTACAATAGCAGCAGGACATAACCTTGCGTTGAACTTATTTTCTCTTGTCTAAACGTTGAAATTAGGGGCGATGCTTGTAGCAGTCAGAGAGCTTGATCATCTGTGGAAGGGGCAACCACCATCTTGACTTCTCTCTCTCTCTCTCTCTCTCTCTCTCTCTCTCTCTCTCTCTCTCTCTCTCTCTCTCTCTCTCTCTCTCCCTCTCCCTCTCTCTCACACACACACTCGATTAAATCTGAATTTTGAGACTGCAAACCCTATATGGTTTCTCAACCCTGATAATTTGGGAACTTCAACTCGTTCCATCCCTTATATTCTGTGTTCATACAGATCAAAAAGTGTGTAGACAGAGAGAAGCATAAAACCAAAGTGGGAAGAATCAAGAATGATCAAATTGCTACTTTTTATAATCAACCGTACATTTTCCATTAAAAGTCGTGTTTGGAATCAGTTTCTAGCACTTTTTAAAAAGAGTAACTTTTTGAACCAGGAGCAGGAACCCTAAAGAGCTTTTAGCTGTTCCTGGCACAGATTGCCTGTGTTCTTCCATCTCAAGAGCTTTCGATCGAGGGTGTGGAGGAACATCTATCACAGAGCTGTGGTTCTGAGTGTCCTTAAGCCTAAAAGGAATAGAAACCCCTTTGGATATTGATGTGAGAACATTTACTCCACTTTCAAGTAGGAATTCACACCAACATTGGATGAAGGTTTAGATGAGAAGAGCAATAACATCAAGCCATTAGAGAGGCAAGCTATTAAGCCTTAATGGTGTTCATTAGCAGTGAGCAATGAAAGAAAAGTGAAATGAACAATATTTCAAAGGAACCAGCTTTTCTTCAACTCCAAGAAAATTCATGCTAATCAGTAAAATGGAAGAGAGAAATTGATTTGGATCTAAGCTGAAGGTAAAGGATCAAACAATTAAAGCAAGGCTGGGTTTTTTAAAATATTTATGTTTCCAATTGCCTCCTAAATGTCCTTGTGAGGTTCTGTTACATTTACATACTTTTGCACCTGCCCACTTGCCCATTTTTACCCCTGCATCCATAACTGCAGAAAACAGCCAGAGCCAATTCCTCATGTATCCGTTGTAGCAGCAATTCCTGGAAAATGGTGAGGTGGCATTGTCTCTGAATATTTAAATTATTTAAATCCTATGTTTACAATCAGGTGTTGAAATCAGATGGCATGTATTTCCCAGATTTACACCCTTTTTCCAGGCAATCTCCCAAGTTTTTCTTAAAGTTAGTAATATTCACTGTAAAGGAATAAATAAGGAAGTAGCAGTTAAAGTGTAGAAATTGGAAGAAATTAGAATATATCTCGAGCAAATAAGGGCAATGGTTTTAAAATATCTATCAAATGGGCTGAAAGGTATTTACTTTTGGAAGTGTAAAATCCATAGCATTCAGAGGAAAGTTGTTAAGTTCTAGAGACGTGGCCAGTTCCTGAAAGTCTTGATGGCAATTCTAGGAATTGTCACCCAACTCCTGATGTTTGAAGTGACCAAAAGGAAAATTATTAACTACATAACCATTTCAGTATCTCTCAATTGCTGATTTTTCCTGTTCTCAAAGTAATCCATCTCATACTTTGCATCAGTTTGAAAATGAAATAATGAAATATTTGTAATTATAATTTGCATTTTGCATTTTCCCTAATATATGTGCCTTTGGGAAGAGAGAATAATTCAAATACTATTTTTAACATTACTTTTACTAATTATCTATTTTTGTACATATTTTTTTAAAAACATATACATTATGAGCACAATTTGGCTTTGAAGAATTACAACGCAAAATCCATAGTACACTTTTTAAAATACCATACAGCTGATTTTTTTTTACATGGGTCTTAAAAGTTGATGTACTCCTTAAAAATATTATGAAGTATGAAACATCATATCATGCTTAGAATTCTAACATTCCTACAAGCTAAGCCATAGGATTCAAATCTGTCATCCACAGCTCCATTTTCTGTGAGTCAAATACACTAATTTCATCAGGAACATGCTGATATGATGGAGCAACTGAGGTTGGAATAAATCCACATATTGTTCATTTTTTCCTTATTTTTTTTACAGGGCTTTGGGGCACAACCTTGACCGAAAATACCAGTGAGAACCGAGAGCTTTATGTAAAGACTACACTGCGTGAACTTCTGGTCTATATTGTATTCTTAGTGGACATCTGTTTGTGTGAGTAGTCTGGTTGCTACTCAAGTCTTGATACCAGTTTTTCCTGTTTTCTAATTCTCCCAATTATCCTTTTTAAAATCCTTTCCTTTTATCTCTTTCTGAGCTCACATGAGATCATTTTTTTAAAAATTGATATTTTACTGCTCACTGTCAAAAGCTAATGGAAATTGCAAATTTTTATTTTTTTCTCAGCACTTTACATCCCCAAAAGAAGTCAATGATAAACCACTTCTTTGAAGGTGCCAAGAAAACTACGTGGAAATAAAGTTAAAACTTATCAAACTTAGCATGTTGTCAAATGAATCTATCAGATTTGTAAATAATCTGAACACAACCTGTAATTTCCCTGATTGTGTAGGACATTAAATGTGTAACACATTAAAGACAACAACCAGAGGGATGGTAAAGGAAAACTCATATTTTTTCTTGGCTTAGCGTTTGCGCAGAAGCTTTTAATTATGTGGAACTTTATTACTATTAAATTGTAGGTAGACCGCAAAGTAATGTTTTATGATATATAATAGAACATTAAATGTACAATAAACAATAATACATAATAATTCAACACTCGATCATTTTGAAATATTAACTACTCAACTTGTATCACAGCTTTGTTCTAATATCTAACCTGGATTGACTTCCCTGAAATTTCAACCCTTTGCTTGTTGTCCTTTTATCCAAGATGACAGAATATGCACCCACCCTCCTTCTTGATCTGACAAACCTTTATATATCTGAATATTGTTATCATATCTACCCTCAGTTCTCTCTTGTATAGAAATATACTGAGAGATATACCGAGTTCCTTTAATTATTTCTCATTGGGCACACTTTCCAGTCTCTTCACCCTCTTTTGAATTTGCTCCAATTTGTCTGTTACATTTTTCAGTACTTGACACTGTTCCAAGGGGGATCTTATCATAGCAGAAGAGAATGGGAAAATGCTTCTTGTGTTCTAGACTCTATGCTGTCATCAATACATCCTAATATAAAATTTGCCCTTTTAGCAGCTGCAACACACTATTGGCTCACATTTGACGGATTGCCAAGATCACCCAGATCTTAGTCACATGCACTTCTGCTATTCCATTTCTTCATTCTATTCTTGCACCTTTCAGTTTTTTCTCCCCAGTTGCAGGGATCTATATTTCTTTTCCCAACATTTGGTCTGCTGTTCACACTCATTTATTTTTTCTGAAATCTCTTTCTCTTCCAAACTGTTAGCCACTTCCCCATGTCTTGTGTCATCTAAAAGTCTGATATCCTGTAAAATCCTTCATCCAGGTCATTAATAACAATACAGAGTTCTGGGGCACTCCATTTAAATAGTCCAATTGGATGTGGAATCATTTATGAGTACTTGCTGAGTTCAGTTCAGGTATTTATAAAGCCATCAAATAGTTGTATCCACTAGCCCATCTTTCACCATATTACTGAGGAGGATATTTCCCGAACCAACAATCCAGGTCATTCACGGTCACTCGTGCCCTAGTCACTTCCCGTCTTGAACATTGCAACATGCTCTACATGAGGCTGCCCTCGAACAGCATCTGGAAGCTTCAGTTGGTGCAAAATGCAGTGGCCTGCATAGTTTTGTGCGGACCTCAGCGTGCACTTGCATCACCTCTCCTGCAGGAGGAGCTGCCTTTGCTTCTGGGTGCAATTCAAGGTGCTGGTTGTCACCTTCAAAGCCCTTCAAGGCTTGGGACCAGATTATCTAAGGGACCGTCTCTTGCCAGTCACATTTACCTGACCCACCAGAGCAGAGAGGCAAGGAATGTTGTGGGTCCCATCCCCTAGGGAGACACACACCTGGTGGGACCCAAAGAAGGGCCTTCTCTGCAGTGGTGGGATTCCATTTTTTTTTTACTACTGGTTCTGTAGGTGTGGCTTGGTAGGCGTGGCAAGGGAAGGATACTGTAAAATCTCCAGTCAGAGGTGGGATTTGCCAGTTCTCCAAACTACTCAAAATTGCCACTACCGGTTCTCCAGAACTGGTCAGAACCTGCTGAATCTCACCTCTGCTTCTCTGTGATGGCTCCCTCTCTCCGGAACATCATTCGCCCAGATATTAGAATGCCCCCCCCCCCCACTCTTTCTTCCGGAAGGCACTCAAGACCTGGTTCTGCCAGCAGGCCTGCAGAGCGGAATGCAGAGCGGGTTGGAACCCATTAAATGGCTCGTGTAAGATGCTATCGCCGGGGCAGTGGGTGGGGTTTGATTTTAGTATATTAATTTATTATATGACACTTCTTTTATTGGTTTTATATGGGGTTTTATATTCTGTAAGCCACCTTAAGCCGCCATGTGCGAATAGGCAGCAATATAAATCTAAATAAATAAATATTCTGAGGCACTCTTTGAGGAGGCCCCAGCTTTTCCCAATCTACTAAACTCCAATAGCTCTGTTGAAAGAGGAGATAAGGTTAATAAGACCTTATTTGCTGGCTTTTGCTGCTTGTTTCATTCTTCTCCAAATATGCTCCCAAATATGCCGTGCATCTGCTTTGCCAACTGACATGTTTATAGGTTTTTTCCTAGGTCCTCCTCCTCCTCCTCCTTTTTGATGATCAGGACATTTCTTCTCCCCCAGTCTTTTGGGAATCCTCCAAAAGCCTTCCAGGGGTTATCAGCTATAAAAGCTAGTGATTCTGCAATCACCACTTCTTTCTTTTTCAGCACTTAATGTTATAATGCATTGAGACTTGAATTCTTTTAAACAAATTAAGCATTTATTTTTAATTTTTGTTATGCCTGCTCAGGAATTCTGGGAGTTGAAATCCACAGGTTATAGGGGCCATAGTTGCCCGCTCTTGCACTAGTGAAACAAGGGGAGGCACAAGGGGTTTAGTTCATCTTTCAAAAGAAGACAGATGTAAATAAAAGTTGACATTCTGCCTTCTCATCACCATCCATTATCAATTCACTTTTTTTCTTAGATTAGAACTAGAATCTCTTTGTCTTTGTTTTAGTTTCTGGCAAAACAAAAGGTGTTTTTTTTTTCTCCTGTTTGGAGCATTTGTCATAATCCTTAAGGCATTCTATGCCTTTCTGACACAATTCCCATGGTTTGTGGCATTGGCTTGTATCCTTTAGTTTATACACCTCTCCTTCCATTCTTCTCCTTTCAACATTTAGAAGGCTAACTATTCTGTGCATTCACTTAGTTGCTCTTTAATCATTCTTTTGACTCTTCTCCTGGTCCTTCTCCCTTTCCAAATTCCTTGCTCTCTAAAGGATGTTATGCTTCTCAGTCTTCTTTTTGTTGCTTTTCAACCTAGTGTGATTTTCACCAGTCATTTTTTCAATATCAGTAACCCAGGGCTCTCTCTGTTTCCTTCTTGTCACTTCCCATAATAGCTAGAGCTCTCTCTTTGGCTGGATTAGGCTGGTTTCCTTTTCTGCTACTCCCTGTGGCACACTTTGTTGTATTCTTTTCTTCTGTACTGCCAGGAGGAGACACACTGATTGTCTCCCTTCCTGACACATTTTAACCTATTTGGCTACCCCGCCAACTTCAGTTATTTATGGTGTTACCTCAATGGCCTCATGAATCTAGAAGCAGCTGGAGAATGCAGTTGTACTGTTCCAAACAGCTTTTCTTTCTCTTCATGAGAGACTTAATAGGGCTAAGGATTTTCTCATGGCTGATAAAATATGCCCCCAAGTGAAGCATGGACCCGCCTGGTGTTCAAAACTTTGTGTATATAAGTAATCAGCCCTTCTCAGGAGCAACAAACACGGCGTGGCAGATGGCAAGACCTTTTTGAGATGAGAGAGTGGTGGGGTTTTTTTTTTGGCTCTAATTGGCCTAGATCTGGTGGTGCCCCTTTGCCTCATCAACAGATGGCTTGTGTAATGAAAAGAAAGACCCATTTGCATGTCCAGGAACCTCAAACTTCTATTTCATGCTTCCTAGGCTAAAGTTTTCACAGTTACTCTGAAGGTTGCCTTATAAATATCAGAACAGGAAGAGTGTAAAGAGAGATAACATAGAGAGTTATTCCTATTGTACTTTCTGGAGAGATTTAATGCAGCTCTTTACCAATTTTTGTTGTGTGGTGACACAATAGCTATTTGTGTTTGGTAAATTCATCATTATCTCAACTGAGCACCTGTGATCTCTCTGCACAGAAGGCTGTATTTCATGCCTAGAACACTGGAGCTTGGATATGAGCAACAGTGGAAAGCTCAAATCATTCTTCTCATACAGAAGTGACGTTCTCTTCATTGCAAATCAGGAGCTTTGAACATTTGTTTGAGTAAGAGGCTCATCAGGTTTTTCTGATAACTTAGCTATTGATTTTAGCTTAGTCAATGCTGGATTCTCTTGGTATATATGCCTCAATGTGATAAGTTTGATCCCAATCACGACTGATCACACCTGGGAAGTAAGCAAAAGATGGCCCTTTCATTGAATGGATGAGACATTTATCCCAGAAGTCAGATTTGTATGGGCCATTGACTTATTGAAAGAGTCATTGTTATCTCTTTTGTTTTACTGCACCATTTATTTCTAAATGACATTTCTTCACCCTATCAAGAGTCACCTGGCAAATGTGATGTCACAACCATCAATCCTGATATCACTGAAACAAACATATCCCTCTCATTGGCCTTACTATGACCGATGGGGTACACAGTGTGTGCATTCCTACTGCCTGGGCAACCAAAGTGAACCTTATGCCTTGGCTGCGTTATGTTCACAGTTCCATTGCTATTATCAGCAGCTTCCCCCAAATCCATTTTCAGTTATATGCAGTTGCACAGCCAGATGAAAAATATTACAGATTTATAAATAGTGTGTGCATCATTGACTATATTTTTCTTCTCTATCAACTTTGCACAGCTGGGCCAAGAGAAATGAATATTGATTGGTTTGCCTCACCGGTTTGTTTCCTTTTAGTTTAAATTTGTGGGTACTTATAGTCTGTAAAAAAAATACCTGATTTCTTCAATTTTCAGGTCCTGATTTTTGCAACAAATACAAAGATAAGCTG